GTGTTAAACCGGAAACACATGTTTGATCAATTGCTATTTAATGGAATCGTATTCAACATCATTATATCAAATACATTTACATTACAATTGGGGTTGTCAAACCGGTCATATATTGTCAACCGGTTACTCGAACATTCCTCCGACCGAGTTACATTGTACCAGTTAATCGGTCAAACTAGTAATCAAATAATAAACAGCAACAAACACAAAATATGTGTAGAAGATGTTCTTTCTAAAACGTATTTACACCACAAACATACATGTATATATTAATTAGCATGATAGTTTACTCGCGTATTTCAAGCTAAAGGCAGGAAAAAGTTGCATGTAACCTGAGTTAGTATATTCCATGAACAACAAATGTCGGAATGCAGTAAGACGGGATTAAACTAGTTATCTGTACTCGAAATCATACGCAGTATTATTTCTCCTTAGAACAAAAATTGCCTCACAAACGTTTAAAGACATGATTGCACATTCAAGTGTGTGCAGTTCAGATTCTATTTACATCTCGCAGGTATTTCACAACTTTGTATTATAGTGGCTTCTTTATAAATTCTGTTAAGATTTGTTATGGTGTTGGCGACATCTGTTTGTCAATATTTACAATAGAGTAAAACGTTCTATTGTTTACAAGTGGATGCTACCTGTCAGGGTAAGACGGTGGTATCTACAACCAAACACTACACGTTCAAACAACAAAATATGATTCTGTTGCTGAAGAATCTACACTAACTTCACAGGTGTGGTATTTGGATACAGATGTATAATTCCACGACACCGACGTGAGAAATGGATCTAATTAAGGTCTACTTACTAGAGCAAGACTGTTTGAAAACGAGCAATCGTGTGGCATGCAAGGCCGTCTATTTCATAAACTATTCAAAATGGATTTTTACTTTATTGAATCAAGAAACGTGAATGTAAAAATGTATCGAGCTAGACCAGAGTTTTATCTATGAAGATACATGACCTCGTGTAGCTAAGTTTAAAAACAATCCAGCAGTCATTAATGCTCAAAGTGAAACGTCAGCTGTAACAAGTGCAAACTATCCTTATACATATATCAATATCTTGTTTTACGTATGTATGTATAAATGCAATATAAAGAATGACGAATGAAAGCCCTCTCGTAAGAGGACAACTATTTGTAGGGTTTGCTGAACTCGGAGCCCCAACTCTGGCAGAAATCCTTTACCTGGGGAAAACATGTCATTTGTGCATCTGAAATGAAATGTAATATTAATTACGCCATAACAGACTAAATCACGTGTTCGGGGAGGACGGGCATATGCAGTAGCACATGTGGGGCCCATAATAACCAGACAGAAACAGTCAGTTTTACTATTTTAGGGAGGGAGTGGTCATAAGATTACCAAGTCTCCCATGCACACGTTTAGACATAATAAGGCGTCCCTAACAACCATTCAATTTGAGCACGTCGTTATCGCTGATTTAAAGACGGAAATAATCTCTCTATCCATCATTCATGAAATCGGGTTCATATCGATGCCCGGTACTCGATGTGTATGATGGTAAAGCTCTGCCTTTATTTCCATTTTTCTTACATAACTTCCCCACAGTAATTTACTGATACATGGATATACGTCCATGATATTGGTATATCACTGTCACTAAGCAGAAAGTACATCCGCAGATACAACACAATGGAAGTCGCCAAATACACTTGTTCGAAGTCTTTAAAGATTTATAATGAAGAGATATATGACTTTGTTTTCAAAACACGAACGCATTTTAGACATATCTAGGTAACAGAGGTAATTAATGTTTAATAATTCCGCAAGGGTTCGAGCCTAGGGTATCTGGTGTTCTAGTCTGACGTTATACCGTGTGATGTTAAAAGCAACATTGTTGTTAAGTTGTTATTTAATAACTATTCCAAAATTTATGAATCACCTAAGTGTAATTACTAAGTTTTTAACACCTCCGCTAGGGATGAAACTCTGCTTTACCGGTCTGGCGCCTTACTTTGTTTGAAGACCAAGAGCATAATAGAAATCCTTCCAGCCAAGCCGAGACAAAACGACTGATATATAACCTGGGTGACTACAATATCAACGAGAATTCATTCAATATTATATTTTTTGAAAAATTAAAGGTCTGGAGATGTTTAATGTGATCCAAATACATATTAATATTTCCGTTCCTACTCAAGTTGAACTCAATGCAACTACCAAAAGTAACCTGTTTCATTTGCCGATGAATTTGACCAGATTAACATTGCCTGTGCGTATGATTTTGCGAAAGGAGATAACTAGTGAAATGTTTAAACAAAGAAGATACCAATTGATGAAAAATTACATTTTTATTGAAACTAAACGATTAATCAGCAAATTATTATCAGCTCACGGTTGCTAGCGATAGTGAAAAGTTATGTACTTGCCCTAGAAATTCTCCCTCCAGCTACCCATTCTGCCTCTTGTGTCTGTATCAACCCTCGGTACAAATCAAAAACAACGTAGATCCATGTGGTCCCGTCTCATATGAAATGAAGTCGAATAGCCAACTTCAATATCAAATTATTTCGTCCTTTCAAACCACGTCTGGTTTCCTGTCTAATTCGACATTCAATTACTGCAGCTTCACATTCCAGAATATGTAGAACCTTAACATTTAGCGGCTTTCCACTTCCAGCTAGTAAAAACATGGCTGCCGTAGAATCGCAGCTGAGCCTAAGTACCGCGTCAAGACTATATTCTTCCACGATGACGCGTCAGAAAATTCGATATCTTATGAATTCATCAACAAAAATTAAATATGACATTTAAAATATGGTTTTGTGTTTTGTTTCTACATAATTTGGCTGTTTTAAACTGTCAACGTACACCATGATGTTGTATGATTGGCCTTCAATGACGGAGTATATTTTTTTTACATTACGTCAATACGTAGACTTGCACAAGCTCCAGAACCTGGGACAAACTATCAGAATGGACTTCACAAGATGCAATTTTTTTTAAAAAACCCACACGTTGACTGGCTTTCAAATTTGTTTCAAGACCAACTCAATTCATCACCATATGAAATCGACCAAAGCAAGATTCAATCCTTAAATTATTAATATGGCTTTCTCTAGAGCGGTTTACAGGGTAAGACCTGAACAGGTCTTATTTTTATATTTTATGAACTACATATGTATAAGATTTTTATGTTTAATTTTAGTTTATCTTTTGTCATTTATACATGTATGTAGATCAGTCCCGGAGGAAAGAATATGTCATAACGCTTAGGTGATTTATTTCATTTTAAAATAGTAATTAAATGATAACTTAACAAAAATGTGGTTTTAACATGTACATTGTGATAATGTGTGTATGTGTGCCGAAATTTACTGCTATAAATATATATAAGAATTTTTTTCTGTATGTTGCTAAATTAATTTACCATAAATGGCAATTTTGTACTGATTTGCCTTCTTACGGCCATTTACTGACAAAGAAATACATATATTATAAACGCCGAATGTAGGTATCACATTACTATGACTTACAAATCATTCCCTTATCTATTTCAAATTCTTAACGGCTCGTCCGTATAACATACACATACAAATATTACAAAATACTAGCATGATGTGTAGGGCACTGCACATAGTGCAGTGGAGAATGGACATCAGTACACTTTACGTTAATGATTTTCTCAAATTGGTAGCATCGTTTATACATGTATACTTGCTTAACATATTGAATTCTTTTGTATTTGTTGTCCTAAAAAACTGTACTAATGTAAATCCCGACGGTATCATCATGACTTGAAGTTTTATGAAATACAAAGAGAGATAACCTCATTATCTTTACAATGGAGTTACTTCCCTTCGTATAAATATTGTGTCGTTTGAACTAGAATATAAACCTCATCCTTGTTGGCTTTTTCTTCTTGTGGTCTCTAACTTGACTAATAAAAATATGTTATCATAAAACAATGTCACTGTAGGCATTTTGTCATTATTATTCTATTATTCTTGATTTGTTTTCCCCTCACAGACTCTGAAGGATGACTTTTTCCTCATGTTGACTATACTTTGAATTAAAATGCATTAAGTTATCATCCTGTATAGGAACTTAGGACGTTGGAACTAGGGCATGTATACATTATATCATTTGTGGGAATTAGAAAATTTGTGCTGAGGAATACAATAAACCTTAAAATTATGCAGATCTTTTTTTTCTTTAAAACAATCCTATTGTCTTTTGATTTTCCATATGCACATTTACTCTTTGAAAGGTGTTGTTATCCTGAGAATATTATTTCGTAACTTTATATTGAGTTGTTGACGACAACACATGATGCTGTATTTATCATGCTATCGATATGTTGTATAAAGTAGTATATAGATGATAATCTTTTATTATAATCACTCCTAAATGGATGTGTGCTCATGTCAAGAGGAAATAACACAAAACAAATTTGAGGCAGTCTTTTGTTTAATATTGTAACGACAGTAAAAACGCAACCTCATTTATATCCTTTTGTAATCCTTAAAAATGATGTTGTAGATATATACACTCTTCTTAAAAATACATAAAAATAGAAAATCCATGTTTATATCTTCAATAGATAAATCACATAAGAAAATAGTTGTATTGCATTGAGAAGCATTTTAGCATTTATCTCAAAATAAACGGTTAAGAAACATTGAGACGTGATAAATGATAACCAGCGTCTATTTATACTGTACAGTGTAACTAATGGGAACATGACAGTAATGCAGTTATGTTTTTTCTATCCAACACTAATATGCATTTTAGTTTATATCGATACACAACTTCGCATCAGATGAAATTCGAAAGTGTTTAGGTTTATATTAGGAACAATCCCGCAGTTCAAGACTTTATATCATACATGTTGTCAAGAATGGCAGATATATATAAAAAAAATCCTTTAAACAATGAACCTCCTCGGCAATTTTGTAGTTGTCACACCATGCACTGACCTGTTAAAGGATCCTATTAGCCCTGGACAAACCGTAGTATTGACTGTCTGCATGACGATAATCTTGATAAATCATTCATTCAGAGGAAACTACTCTTAACGAAACTTTTAAGAAAAATATATAACAAAAATGAAATAAATTAAAAACCAGCAACCGAAAAAAGGAATTTCTAAAGTGTTTTGCTTGCAGCGGGACAGGGATCCTTGACAGGGTAAAACTTTAAAATTTGTATAACTGAATTGTATGTACAAATAGTACAATCGTCATCAACTGATAATGCACTCCTTTTACATATGTAAGTTTAACAAATAATGCTTGCAGCCCCACTAGTGATGGGATATAGAATTATTAATTTGGGAAAAAAAAGATTTACAATATTCTAGAAATTAAAGAAAGTTCGAATCAATATTAATAAACATTTAGTGGTAGTAACGGCAACCAATCATAGGTGTAGAGTACTTGTCCCTGAGTGCTTACTCCCACAGTTATCTTCAGACACACTCGGTAGTACATACATTTGTACAAATTCAGTCAATTAAACACTACATACAATAAATTCTTCCATACAACGTTTAGCCTATTAATTTACTACATACAATCAATTATTCCATACAACGTTTAACCTGTCAATTACTTCATACACTCAATTATTCCATACAACGTTTAACCTGTCAAAAAACGCTTACATAGGCAATGCCACGCGCACACACACATCCATATGTATTTATACTCGTGTACATCTCCATAGAGTGTAATTTGATTTATATTTTCGTAAACGTAACTCGTTTCTGGAGAATAACATTTCGAGATATTCAACGGTTTTGATAACTGAAAATACGTAAAACACTAGTATTTTGTTCTGAATCATTACGCTGATTCACATGACATGGTTATTTTATGAAAGAAACAACTCTTTGATAATGTATAATGCTATAATCACATTACATGTATGGGGCTACATACCCGCATCATGAACAATAAACAGTCAGACGGGCCACCAGATGGAATGCTCAAAGTGGCCTCTTAACAGTTATGGTCCAATACTAGCGTACGGAATGAGAAAATGGTGCTATATGAAGGAACTCTTGACCTGCACTGACAGAGTTCCTTTTCATTGCCAGGGCAATTTTCAGACTAATGCTTTGGTTGGATTACGTTACAGAATCTTAGCTCTCGTCCTCGACTGAGATACCCCGATCTCGCTCAGTTACAGGTAATACATCTTATTAATCTCATAACAGGAAAACTGTTAATGTTCCTGTCAATGGTAACAGAAAGAAATTTTCTTACTCTGAACAGTTATGTTATATACACACAGGAATGAGAGAAAACTATTCAAATGTATATCACAGATCGCTATCACAGTGAACATGACATAACAGTCGATTGCAAGTTAATTCTACATTAGACTAACAAACAATATATATCACATATTGCTAATTCACCCTTTGATACAAGACGTCGGTCCTTCCGAACACAATTATATATGAAAGATAAACCGATAAATAAATACACATATCAGCGGAAATCAAACAGTGGCATTGCCTTCAAGTCTTACACACTTCAATGACAATGTACGCAGTACAGGTCATATCAAGCAAAGGAAAAGAATACGTATGTTCTTTTCGAATCAAACATAAGAGTTCTCTGTTTTAACTCATTCACCCTGAAATTTCATAATGAACTATTTCAAGCTTTGAATTCGAAGAGTTCAAATGTGTCTTCAGGGGTGAAAGAGTTAAACGGCTCCAGAAATTCATTTTCTGATTTTGCTGAAATGAGATATAAGGGACTATAATGGAGGTAAATAGAGAATTCAATCTAAGCGAATTAAAAATTGGGATAAAACCCGAATATCTGCCGACGTTTTTTACTCCATGTTCCTTATGGAGGTATCTTTATCCAGCTACCAGATCATATGAAAGAGCCTATCTCTTAAATCAATTGTCAAAATCAATTGTTCGAACACTTCGCTATTTTGCAAATTGTAAAATATCAATGTCGAAGCCAGTAGAAAAATAAACCATTTCCCCCTATAACTCCATGATGTTTCATTCGGATGTGTCTAGCCGTGAACCTCTTACCTATGTTACTACTGTGGTATAATTGGTCGCCAGACAAGAACTGTTACCTGATAAGAATACTATTAATGTAATAGAATTTCAAAATAAACGTTTGTTCAATTTTTGTTTGTCCTTTCAGTTATGTTTTTAGTTTGTTTAAACAAAAACAAAAAAATCTAAAAAGCAGACGTGACTATCACCCCATAATTACTCCCTTATGTAAGTGTAGTAATACGCATTGTAATATATCATTGTCATGGAAAGGTTACAGATCATCTCAAGTTACAGATGACCACACATAATGGGCAGGCGAAAAGCAGATTTCTGCATTAGTCTACTACAACGCCATAATAATACTTATTTTATTGCAGGTGTCTTACGATTTTGTGCATGCCACAAAATATTTCCCTCTTTTCCCGCAAAACATCTGGAGGGATGAGCTTAGAGACAATGTCACTGTTTATTTTGCTGACTTCATACTTTGTCCCGATATAAGGAAGTAATATCGTCTTATGATGTATCTATTTATACAATTATTGCCTGCATTATGTCACACAGGATATCACAGAAAATCACAGTATACTGCATCATCGGAAATGACGTCACACACATCTAATCACAGGTTACCCACCATCCATTGCTGTCGAATCATGTTGCGTTGTTGTTTTGGTTGTTCCATCAGCATTGTATGCTGCTTTTTATTGGATGGTTTATGTTTTCCAGAACTGACAACAAGTTTAACACTTTGTTGTTTTGGGGGGTATCCCTGTCGTTGTTTCGATCTAGAACCTGACGTTGCGTTGTCTTCGCCTCGTGGGCTGTGCATATAATGGACTGCCGGGTCAATTCCATTAACAACCTTACGCACATGTCCATCTTGTACCACGAGACGTCCTCTTTCATCAGTACGGGAAGGGGACAAAGTTCGACTTCTCGGATCAGTCGAGGTTGTCCGCGGACTTGTTACATATCTAGGAGACATATCACCAACGTGACCACGTGACACCTGCGGTCTTTGGCCACCATTCTGTATGACTATGCTATGATTTACCCCATTCAAAGTAGGATTTATATGAATTTGCTTCGTTGCTTCATAAGAGTTTGTCGATTTCTGTTTAATGTAATCAGCAAGTGTACCATTAGAGGCTTTGATCTTAGACATTTCCTCGTTGTGTGGTCGATGAAAGCCCTTCATGCGCCCCCTAGGTGCTGGCACTGGCACCATGCCCTGAGGATAAATATTCGAAGGGTCCTCGATATGGTCCCAAGAAATGGATTTCTTATTGTTTGATACTGTTTTAAATTCTGCACTTTTGTCAAAAGGCTCTTTTAGGTTTAAAGCAGGAACGTTATATCGCGGATGTTTTGATTTCTTCAGTATACTTTGTCCCGGGACTTTTTGACGTTGTATAAGGGCAAACTCTGTCGCGTCCGTGGCGTCAAGCGTCACCCATTTATCGCCATTATTTTGTCTTACTGTAGTCCCGTAAACGTTGTCCATCTTCTCATGAAACCCGTTCCTTGAATAACTTTGACTCAGGTCGTGTTCAATGTCAACACAATCATCAGAAAACGCTACGGATTTCTTAACTTGCGAATTCCTCGCGCTGTTCACGCGCTCAAACATTGCCACGTTAACTGGTTCGTCGTCGAACATGACCTGAGTCTCTTGTTCAACTTCCTCCTGGTCAGAGAGACACTCTTGGCCACCATTCAAAACGACTTTCGGTATGTCACTCGGCTCCGGCTTCGCGAATGGTTGGTGTACCACGACACTTACGAGAGTATAGCGACTTGCGTCACAGTCCTTGACAACACTGTCTGATGCAATCATTTTGTTGGGATTTGTCGTACTTTCGCTTTTTTGTGACAAAATCATTTGTGGCTCATGGTCGGTTTTCGTTGCTAATGCATCAGCACTAAGATCAGTAAGTGATATCTCGACATCGCTGTTAGATTTTTCAGAGACCCTGTTAATTTCTGGTGAATCAACATTTGAAACCGGGATCGGCTCATTATCAGGCGATTTCGTGTCATGAAGACGTGGGCTCGATACATATTGATGCTGAACAGTAAGCGAATTTTCGTGTTGCTGCCTTGCGTCATCTGCCTTCAAGTTAGCTGGTGGGATAGTTCTTTGTTTACGTTCTCCCGCTAACGAAGAATTCACACGCGAATTAACTTTCTGTTTGCGCTCATCGCCTACCGAAGAACTTGCACGTGGTACAACTCTTTGTCGACGTTCCAGAACTGCGGTTTCATTACCATGCGAATCATGACCGTTTTGTGCAATTCTCTGATTAAGTGTTGCGTTCGCACTGATAGTAGAACCATTTGATTTGCGTTCAACTGAATCTCTTTCCTTTTTCGGTGACTCTTTGTGTTTGGATGGACATGGTTGTTCTTGGTGCGGTAAAGCTGTATTTATTTTCTCATTCAAATTGACATCTTTCTTCTTTCTAGGTTTTGGTTTTGGTTTACTTTTAGGGGAAATGGCACCGTTTGACTTTGTCTCTCCTCCCTGCGACCGAATACCCTGGCTTCCTATATCGTTTATAGCCGTGACGTATTTCCGGTCTGCCGTTACTCCTCGGTCATGATTAGGGTATTTCCCTCCATAGCTTCTCGCGCTGTTATCTAGCTGAGAGCCGTAAGAATCGGCTGGCCGTATCACTCTGTACTGCCCGGGAAGTCCATCTACTCGGCATACCGCGTAACTTTTATGACGACTGACTTTATGGCCCATCCTTCTCTGTCAGCTTCTGTCTATCTGTAAATACATGAAAAATATATTATTGATCTAAGAAAAGTTTCAGAAATAATATCTTCATCGTTTAACATTTTAAGGATTTATTTCCGTTCGTTTCCCGACAAACCTTGTCTTCATCAAGTTTCCTTTGGTTAACCGAACGCTTTATGGATAATGCGTTTCAGAAAAACCAAAAGTTACACCGGGAGGGTTGATAGTTAGACCGGTTTGGTTGATGAGTTATACCGTAGTGTTAAAGATTTATACCGGCAGGGTCGACGGTCTCACGAGATCAATACTTTATTTAGGTGACAGCTTGATTACATACATTACAGGGCATAACATGGAGATGTTATTTGCTATTAAACCATCTGCTTACGTGTGTATTATACTTATCGGAATCAAAACCCTGCCTTGTGTCTATAACCTCGGATCGAGTATCGATCAGAGTGACGAGGACAACAATGTTATCGCAGTGGATGTTACGTTTACAGGTATCGATATCCAATTATCTAGGGATCTTTTAATCACTTTTCGTGGTATGGATATCCGGGTTTCTAGAATAGATAAACTGAAAATAGGGTACTACATTATCATGATCCTGTTGAACCCAAGTGTCAATAACCCAAACTAATTTAGATTGGATTTTGATCAATATATATAGCTTATCTAATAAATAATAATGAGAACTATAATCGGAATCATTTAAAACATTTTTGAAAAGAATATGTAAAGTACTAAGGAAGTCAACATTTCTAATTATGATGTAACAAGAATAACATACAAACATAGGAATTCGGATAACTCGAAGTTTCCCCCACGATCCAATCGACTTCGAGATAACGAGGTTCAACTGTACATAAACTCTAATGAGATATAACATAATGCTCAGGTAGTGCTGCCATCAATATCACGTATCAGGTTCTGTTTATATTAGAAACCGAAGCCGTCAATTGAAAACCCAAAGACGTCAATAGATCTTAAAATAATAAATTGATGCCTGTCGTTCTTGCCATCAAACACAATGCAAAACGTGACTGCTTCGCTTGTTTCCTCGAAGCGCGGCACGTCAGCCCGATGGGTCATCAATATTTGATTGAGTTTTTTTCCTTTTCTGTATATGGTATAAATGACTATCGACAGCTGATGTATCCGTATCACCAGTCGACAGATACAAAGTGCATCCTACTATATCTATCGTCTTATACAGTTGTGAGGCTTTTTGGGTAGTAGACAGGTGGGCTGGTAAAAGAAGGATAAAGTAACAGTGTTGTAGAGAAAAGTGATAGGGTTGAGACGATTGAAGTTCCTTGGGTGGTAGCATTAGAGTTACTGATTAGTCAAGCGTTGAATGTATATTTATAAGGTAAGCCGACTTGATATTGATACCTAAATGAGATACAACATATACGTTAAGTGATATCCCTTCAATTAATTCGGAGTATATGTATTTGATAGATAGATTATAAACAATATAAATATATTAAACAATCTTGATATCTTATACAGACTTCAGTATATGTTAGATATATTATAAACAATATTGATATCATAACAGACTTAAGTATATGATAGGTCTATTATAAATAATATTGATATTTTATACAGAACTAAGTATATGTTAGATATATTATAAACAATACTGATACCTTAAACAGACCTTAGTATATGTTAGATATATTATAAACAATATTGATATTTTATACATACCTAAATATATGTTAGATATATTATAAACAATATTGATACCTTATACAGACCTAAGTATATGTTAGATATATTATAAACAATATTGATACCTTATACAGACCTAAGTATATGTTAGATATATTATAAACAATATTGATACCTTATACAGACCTAAGTATATGTTAGATATATTATAAACAATATTGATACCTTATACAGACCTAAGTATATGTTAGATATATTATAAACAATATTGATACCTTATACAGACCTAAGTATATGTTAGATATATTATAAACAATATTGATACCTTATACAGACCTAAGTATATGTTAGATATATTATAAACAATATTGATACCTTATACAGACCTAAGTATATGTTAGATATATTATAAACAATATTGATACCTTATACAGACCTAAGTATATGTTAGATATATTATAAACAATATTGATACCTTATACAGACCTAAGTATATGTTAGATATATTATAAACAATATTGATACCTTATACAGACCTAAGTATATGTTAGATATATTATAAACAATATTGATACCTTATACAGACCTAAGTATATGTTAGATATATCATAAACAATATTGATACCTTATACAGACCTAAGTATATGTTAGATATATCATAAACAATATTGATACCTTATACAGACCTAAGTATATGTTAGATATATCATAAACAATATTGATACCTTATACAGACCTAAGTATATGTTAGATATATCATAAACAATATTGATACCTTATACAGACCTAAGTATATGTTAGATATATCATAAACAATATTGATACCTTATACAGACCTAAGTATATGTTAGATATATCATAAACAATATTGATACCTTATACAGACCTAAGTATATGTTAGATATATCATAAACAATATTGATACCTTATACAGAACTAAGTATATGTTAGGTATATCATAAACAATATTGATACCTTATACAGACCTAAGTATATGTTAGATATATCATAAACAATATTGATACCTTATACAGACCTAAGTATATGTTAGATATATCATAAACAATATTGATACCTTATACAGACCTAAGTATATGTTAGATATATCATAAACAATATTGATACCTTATACAGACCTAAGTATATGTTAGATATATCATAAACAATATTGATACCTTATACAGACCTAAGTATATGTTAGATATATCATAAACAATATTGATACCTTATACAGACCTAAGTATATGTTAGATATATCATAAACAATATTGATACCTTATACAGACCTAAGTATATGTTAGATATATCATAAACAATATTGATACCTTATACAGACCTAAGTATATGTTAGATATATCATAAACAATATTGATACCTTATACAGACCTAAGTATATGTTAGATATATCATAAACAATATTGATACCTTATACAGACCTAAGTATATGTTAGATATATCATAAACAATATTGATACCTTATACAGACCTAAGTATATGTTAGATATATCATAAACAATATTGATACCTTATACAGACCTAAGTATATGTTAGATATATCATAAACAATATTGATACCTTATACAGACCTAAGTATATGTTAGATATATCATAAACAATATTGATACCTTATACAGACCTAAGTATATGTTAGATATATCATAAACAATATTGATACCTTATACAGACCTAAGTATATGTTAGATATATCATAAACAATATTGATACCTTATACAGACCTAAGTATATGTTAGATATATCATAAACAATATTGATACCTTATACAGACCTAAGTATATGTTAGATATATCATAAACAATATTGATACCTTATACAGACCTAAGTATATGTTAGATATATCATAAACAATATTGATACCTTATACAGACCTAAGTATATGTTAGATATATCATAAACAATATTGATACCTTATACAGACCTAAGTATATGTTAGATATATCATAAACAATATTGATACCTTATACAGACCTAAGTATATGTTAGATATATCATAAACAATATTGATACCTTATACAGACCTAAGTATATGTTAGATATATCATAAACAATATTGATACCTTATACAGACCTAAGTATATGTTAGATATATCATAAACAATATTGATACCTTATACAGACCTAAGTATATGTTAGATATATCATAAACAATATTGATACCTTATACAGACCTAAGTATATGTTAGATATATCATAAACAATATTGATACCTTATACAGACCTAAGTATATGTTAGATATATCATAAACAATATTGATACCTTATACAGACCTAAGTATATGTTAGATATATCATAAACAATATTGATACCTTATACAGACCTAAGTATATGTTAGATATATCATAAACAATATTGATACCTTATACAGACCTAAGTATATGTTAGATATATCATAAACAATATTGATACCTTATACAGACCTAAGTATATGTTAGATATATCATAAACAATATTGATACCTTATACAGACCTAAGTATATGTTAGATATATCATAAACAATATTGATACCTTATACAGACCTAAGTATATGTTAGATATATCATAAACAATATTGATACCTTATACAGACCTAAGTATATGTTAGATATATCATAAACAATATTGATACCTTATACAGACCTAAGTATATGTTAGATATATCATAAACAATATTGATACCTTATACAGACCTAAGTATATGTTAGATATATCATAAACAATATTGATACCTTATACAGACCTAAGTATATGTTAGATATATCATAAACAATATTGATACCTTATACAGACCTAAGTATATGTTAGATATATCATAAACAATATTGATACCTTATACAGACCTAAGTATATGTTAGATATATCATAAACAATATTGATACCTTATACAGACCTAAGTATATGTTAGATATATCATAAACAATATTGATACCTTATACAGACCTAAGTATATGTTAGATATATCATAAACAATATTGATACCTTATACAGACCTAAGTATATGTTAGATATATCATAAACAATATTGATACCTTATACAGACCTAAGTATATGTTAGATATATTATAAACAATATTGATACCTTATACAGACCTAAGTATATGTTAGATATATCATAAACAATATTGATACCTTATACAGACCTAAGTATATGTTAGATATATCATAAACAATATTGATACCTTATACAGACCTAAGTATATGTTAGATATATCATAAACAATATTGATACCTTATACAGACCTAAGTATATGTTAGATATATCATAAACAATATTGATACCTTATACAGACCTAAGTATATGTTAGATATATCATAAACAATATTGATACCTTATACAGACCTAAGTATATG